AAATTCATTACTCCTACTAAAAAAGGATTTTGCAAAAATCAGCATAAGCGACATCAAAAAAGTTGAAGGAAACCATCTCTACCACATTTCATGTTACACAAGAAACGTGATTGTACTGGTATATAAATTCATGCCATTTGTTTAAAATTACAAAGCCAATCATTTTGTCCATTAGAATTATGAGTACGATTGTGTTTAAAAAAATTGTAAAAGATATACAATGTGAATTAATATCAATTACTGGTTATACTAACAATATTATTTCTCGCTAGTTAAATGAAATATCGTATAAAAAATTGATAGCATGCTGGAAATGTGTACAAGGCTGCGCCCCGGAAGATCATGTGATAGCATAGGATGCTATCCCGGATCATTAATATATCAATCCCGTGATGATTAATAATGCAATAATGATAGCGATAATGACTTATTATAAAGACAAATTTATTTCTTTTATTTATTATCATATAATACTTGCGCATATCGTCAAAATGCAAAGAGACCCCCAAATTTCTCTGATTTACCAACCCCACTTCATTAAATTCTTCCTTCTGGTTACAATTATAAAATAAAAAGTTACTCAGAATTCAAACCAATAATTACAGCTAAAAACGTGAATATTGGAATATGTATGTGAAAATTGATACCAAAGAACGTACTTTAAAGTGGTTAGATGATTTTCAAGAGGTATCAAAATCACCATGAGGCTTACCTGAACTTATCCAGTCAAGGGAGTAAAGTTATTTTTTCGTAAAACAGAAGAATAAAAATCGTAAGATTAAAATCCTAACAGTCTACAGAATAGAGATACAAATTTCTAAACAATCTTACCAAATCATGTGATTTTACACATACCAAGCCATATGACACTGGTTAACTCGTGCGATCAAAGTATACTACTCTCTTATAAAAATTACTTATCAATATATCATTTATAAACCCGCCGATTTGTCAATCGCGTTTGATGATCTCGCAAATATCCTTTTAGGTGATAACTTTAAAACTTACAAAATAAATTGTGTTATCAATTTTCTCATTCAAGTTGCTACAACTATAGCACTTTTATTGACAGTATCTACAATAATTATCAGTCAAGATTAGCAGGTAAATTAAACTTGAGACTAAAGTTTCTGAATTAAGAACATCATACAAAATTTAATCTGATTAAATCTATTAAATTAAAGCTATAATAAACTTACTTCAACGACTGTTGAAACTATCAAATATCCAAGAAACAAATTCAACTCAAGAAGTAATCGAGGCTGCTAAGATCGTGAAATTTTTGGTTACGGCATTAATTTACTATGCAAAAGTGCTTTTCTATTATTGTAAAGAGAATTATTACTATTCTTCATGAGCTTATTTTAGCGACAATCTAAGAAATGATATAACAGATAAAGTAAACCAAAACACCTTTATAATTTTTTTTGGTTCAAAATCTAATAAATCTTTTATTACTGTAAGTGACAAACTCACATCATTTACATCAAGACAAAGTAGATTTTTATTATCAAAAGCTTAAAATGTTGTTAAATGTAAAGAAAATCAATCCGCAAAAAGTGAATATCAAGTATTATTTGCCAGTAGTGTAAAATTTAAAAAAGCTAATGATGGTACTCATAATTGCAACTAATTGCCCCACTAACCTTAAATTTAAGAAAAAGGTTCTGTTATCAGCAAAAACAGCGGATAAAATTGTGACGTTACTGTTGAAAAAAATTAATCCTAAAAATAAAACTACGCAAATAATGATAAAAATAAAAACAATGTATTTCAATTTCTTCGAGTTTTGAGAGTCTTGAGGATTATTATTGTTGATGATAACTGTTGCATTATTTACATTTACATCTTCATTTTGTTCATTTCGTGTAACACAATTTTCATTCTGCGGTTCATCGCCAATACTTTGAAAACATTGGCTCTTTAAAATACTACAAACAAGATAGTTACAATTTCTAAACTCTTGTAAAGGCTGGGCGGTTACATTTGAAGCTTGAGATGCGAATGATGGTTGTCTTTGGAGGTTATTATTAATTTGAATGTTGGCTTGCATGGGAGTCAGTGAGGGTTGAATTGAGTTATTTCTAATTGAATTTGTGGTTTGATTATTAGAGTATTGAATCTGCAGATTAGGCTTAGTTTGGATATAATTTGGATCATTATTAAAATTGTTGATCTCATTAATTTGAGGAGGTTGATCAGGTCCGCTAATACAAGGATACTGAGGAAATTGGTCGGGTTCATTAAGACGAGGGTGCTGAGGTGCATTAAAAGTAAATGGTTGCTGAGGATATTGAACAGGTCCATCGTAACGAGGATGTAGGTGAAAAGATCCAATATGATTAGGACGAATGAAAAGAGGTTGTTGAATAAATTGATTAGGGTGATCAAAATCATTGATTTGAGGATTCGGTTCATTGTGAGCTGAGATTAGCACCAATTCCCTTCTTGCAAAACTTGCGTACAAGCAATAACTATTACATTCAGGACATTTTTTAGGGTAATTTATTGGCATATTTTGTTTTTTAACAAATAATTATCTTGCAACGATTTTGGGCTCTTATATAAGATTTTAATGGATAATTTCTACATCTTTACATTATGCTATTTTTTTTATTCGATCTCAACCCCTGAACTGCCACAGGCCAAACTACAAGCAAAGATGTTCATCAAATATCAAATGCCATGTTTGAATTATCTTGGTCAGCCAATAAACTTACCAGTTTTAGTAAAATAAAATATTTTTACGCGTGTTTAATAATATTTTTAAACAACTACAAGGATCAATCATTAAATTTGGTGTTGCATAAACTTAGATATTGTCAAAAAAGGGATTCTAACAGACAAACTGTTATGGTGTTTCAGTCAATAGACTTGCTAGTTTTGACAAAATTACATGTGCGATAAATTTGATCTAACAATCTTTACTGGTGTGGAAAATCACATGAAATTCTTTTTGTTTACATGATGCTCTCAAAAATTCGAACTGTTTGTGGGGTCATGACAATTGACTAAGAGATTATCTCTTTTGAATAATACAATATCAATATCAAATGAATTTTTGTATAGTATGAACCGTAATTTAAACAATATAAAAAATATCAAAATTTGGCGCTAATTTAATGCTATGTAATATAAAAGCCACTCTAATTTAAAGTTAGATAGATTTAACAATTTCGATTTCGCATGATAAAATTAACATGTATATAAATCAAAGCCTGTTCTGATTGTAATTCCGGCAGTTTAAAAAATTACAGTATAAATTATAGAGCTTTAAGTCAAGTTAATTTGCAGATCTACTATAGGTTATTGTTTTTTTAGTGATACGAACTGAACATTGAACAGATTATTTTAAATTGTCTAATACCCTTATTCTTGAAATTATGATAATAATAAATAAACAAATTAAGTATACATGAAATAGTAAAAAGTCATATAAAAAATTTATATTGATTATTAGTTATACAATTATTAACAGAATTGAAAAGTTTGAACTACTATAAGAGTCAGTCGATAAATTTATTGTGGTGATAAATCACGTGTAATTTTTCGTATCTATAAATCATGACTTAGTTGCTGAGTCAACTTATTATTTAGCAATATAAACATATAATTGAATATAAAAAAGTACTCTATTTAAGTTCAATACGTGTTTTAATATAAAAATATTGTAGTTTATTTAAATTAATGAATTAAGATAATTGCATATTATTATAATTTGCTAGTTACTTTAGTATATATGATATACGTAAAATGCTATCGAACAAAAATATAAAGATTGTTTTTTTTTTTTTGTTCAAATAAAAAATAGTTTATTTTCTTTACTCGAACAAAAATACCTGTAAAATATGACACTTGACATGTAAATATTATGTGTGTAAAATATGTGGTTTTACTTTGTCGAAGACATTAAGGAGTCAGTCTAGATTTGTAAGATAAACTTTTCTTTGTATTTCAGTGTCTAATTACAATCATCTACTGCCAAGACCAGTAACTAAACTTATTAATTCATTAGTGTCGCGTGTTTTTTACTTCAAAGATAATGCAAATAGTTTTAACGAATCTTATGTAAGATAAACTTTTCAGGCTTAACAATTATATCTGATACTGATTATGTTTGATACGGATTTATATAATCATGTGGCTTTTAATACAATCTTGTTTGATAGAAATCACGTAAAATTTTTAATGTTCCAAAAAATTGGATTGGTTGAATTATTTTTATAATTAACCAGCTTTTATGTTAAATATATCCAAGCTAATTTAGAGTGCAATTTATATTAGAAATGTGTTCAAAGATAATATAACAATCATATCTGATACTGATCATATGGCTTTTAATACAATCTTTTCTGACAGAAATCACGTAAGTTTTGTGATGCTCAAAAGATCAAAGTTTATAATGATTATCTTTTTTGAATTATACAATATTGTAATTCGAATATATCAAAAACAAATTTGGCACTAACATAAAAGCCACTCTAATTTAAAGTTCAATTCAATTATCGATATAGAAATTGCATAATTTTTATACAGTTTACTTTATCATTACTGTATATTTAACAATTTCGATTCAAGAATGAAAATTAACGTATATAAATCAAGTAACTATATCAAAAACCCTGTTCTTGTTGTAATTCCGGCAGGTAATATAAAAAACTACAGTATAAATTATAGAGTTTTAAGCCAAAATAACTAACAAATAATATTGAAATTATGATAAAAATAATAAATAAACAAATTAAGTATAAATGAATGAGTAAAAAGCCATAAATAAAATTTATATTGATCATTAGTAGCTTTAATTACTGTATACGATCACTATCATTAATATTTTTATACTTTTTTCTAGATTGTTAACGTTGGTTTTGCAAACTTCAGGTTTATTTGTTGGTGATTCGCTAACCGAAAAATCTTCAGAAGATTTGAAAATAATTGTGTCTATACAAAATTAAATAATTAGTTTTTCTCTTACCATTACAATTTTAATTATAAATTCCTACCTTGAGAAGAAACCAATGCATCATCCAAATCTAAAGAGCATAATTTATTAAAGTAAATTTATTGGTTTAATGGAAAGGTATATTCTCTTTGAACATATTCCATTATTCCAATTTTTATTATTGGAACGTGTTAGAAAATATAAATTAGAATGTCTCAAAAAAATCCGAACTACAAGAGTCAGTCATAAATTTACTCAGTTTTATTGTAAAAGTACTGTAATTTATATAAATAATATTAATGAAGGAAAATATTTACTATAATATAAATCAAATTTGTCAATAATGCTAATATAAAAACTACTCAATTCCGGTTTTATAGTATTATACATTAAATATGTACTGTACCCATATTAAATTATAGTCAAATAATAAGATTACTAAATTATGTTTAAATTATATTTTGAAGATCGAGAACCTGTGTAACAATTAGTTAAATTTACTTAGTGCACCATACAAAAGATAACTGCAGAACGGTTTTATATTACTTCCAAGGTTTTAATATCGATATTAAAATAAGTCAAAATTTGTCACATGATCTTTATAACCTTACTGCTTAGATAATTTTTATGTCAGCATTTCGGGTCAACAGATCCAATCACTAGATCACGAGAATTTTTGCTATAAAAATTGTTCCGAGAGGGCGCATATTTTCAGAGGAATACGGTATTGATCATTAGAATTTCATGTAATGTAAAATTTAAATTGTTACTCTAAAACTATAGTTAACTATAGTTTTAGAGTAAAATTTATATTAACAATAAGGTTTTGAATCACTAAACTATTAGAAATGTGAACTACAACTAAGGTAAATCTTTCAGTCAATAGATCTGTAAGATAAACTTTTTTCGTATTTTGGTGTCTAATCACAAACATTATAACATCTTAATTCACTAGTGTCACGTGCTATTTTACTTCAAAGGTAATCTACAAACTTCAATGAATGAACTGCGTAATGGTCAGTCAAAGTTTTGACGAAATCTCATGTAGGATAAACTTTTCAGGCTTCATATCTGATACTGATTATGTCTGTATGGATTTATACAATTATATGAAATCGCTTAAAATTTTATTTTGTTTGCATTAAAAAAAGGTCGAATATTAGAATGGGGACTATAAAATATCGATATCAAATGAATTTTTTTTATTCCACAATACAATTTATCAATATATTTAACTATTTCGATCTCAAGAATAAAAACCGGATTACATGCATGATGTTTAAAATCAATAAAAAACTATAATTTAAGTTCAAATCCGGTTTTTGATATTTTTTATATATAGTATATTCTAAAAAAAAAATTAGTTTATTTAATATCAACAATCTATTTTAGTATTTAAGTTCAAACTGTTTGTTAATAAAATTTTATGTAATGTAAAATATTATTGTAATTTCAATATCCAAGCCAAATTTGGTAGCGTAGGTAGTAATTTATATGTGTCACATGATTTTTAATTTACAAATTTGTTAGATTTTCACTTTATCGATATACGATTTCAAGAATGAAACCCGGAGGCAGTCTTTATTATAATTCCAACACCATGTATCGTATGATCAAAAAAAAAGGTTTTTTTCAATTTGAAATATACCCGCCAAATATATAAACAGGATTTATTGTATTATTTTATGTAAAAATAAACCAAGTTAATAATACTTTAAATAAATTATGTGCCCATTATGATTTATATCCGAAGAATTAATATTAAAATTACTCGTGATTTGTCAAAACTGTTATTTATAATGTAACTTTATTTAAATGTATCGATAAAGCAATTTTCTGAAATTAAAGTAAATAGAAAGAATGCCTCGAGAAGCGCTTATTAAAAAACTAGACAGTCAACTTTCATCTGGAAATTGTGATATCAGCAAAGTTACGATTCAATATCTTACTGAAACAGAGAAACTTCTTTTTCGTCAACTTAGGCGTAAAGAAATTACTGAAAAAGATTATAACTTTCAAACCACTGAAATTAAATGTATAAAAAATACAATTGAAGATTTGCAATCTAAAGTCAAGAATTTACAAGATGAACTTAATAAAATGAAAAATGAAAATAATTACTTATGCAGTGAAATGGATCAGCTCAGTCGTAATTTAAGCTTAATTCAATTAAATGAAAATAATGGAGAATTGATAAAAAAAAATATTCATGATAAGAGAAATGCTTTAAAAAAAATTCGAGAAATAATTGACGCATATAAAAAATAAATATGAATCAGGTAATGTAAATATATTATATATTATATTTCATTTTTTTATAATAAGTATTTTTGTTTAATAATGTAAATCATTAATTAAGATATGACTGAAGCTGGCTCTTCACAAATTGTTGAAATTATTGAAGATGAACATTCAAATATTCCATTTCTAAAATTGGAAATCTCAGAAATTTTAGCTGAAATCGCCGATTTTTTATCCCCAGAAAGCTTTTTAAATTTTTTATTAGTAAAAAGATCGATTTATATTAAAATGAATGAGCATTTTGAAATTTATCCAAATTTTTGGAGAAATTACTTTTTCGATTTCCCAAAATATTATCAAGGATGGAAGCTCGTATTTTATATAATTATAAAATATGTTTACATTGTGATAAGGAAATTTCTGACCCCGTAATAATTTATGAGTTAAAAATTAAAATTTTTAGACTATGTATAGTTGATGCTTTAATCAGGTAAATAAAATTTTTTATTTTTTTATTTTCATGGTTTTTTTTTTTTTTTAAATTCAATATTTACTTTAGTCATAAAGAATTCGAAAAAAATTATTTACCTGACAACGTGAACCAGACCTATAAAGATGAAATAATTAAGGCAATTAATTCTGTAAATTTTATGCAGCTTCAAGGGTCATATATAAGTTTTGACTTTCGGTACAGTTCCAGCTTATCACATGTATTATTTTTTTTAAAAAAATATCGAAATATTTGCGAAGGAATTATCTAAAATTAATGATGATTTAACATATAATTGGCTACAAGAGAAAGCAAATATTGTTAGTCATTATCAAAAAACTATTTTATAGACCAAACATCCTCTTATTAATGATAATAATATGGAAATGATGTTAAACAAAGAAAGGTTTTATATTCTTCCAGAATATAGGCTTTGCGACAATCTAAATTCTATTCATTCTTATATCTGAATATTACGAAAATTTCCAATGCAAATATTTTTTAATTCAATTTTTAATAAATTTCATCTGTATAAAATTATTAGAAAAATAAACAGTAAAAAAATAAAAAATATAAATACAGTAATCTATTTAGGTTACTTTTATATTATCTGTTCAAATGTTCGGTTCGCATTACTAGTTCACTTCTCTAATTGAATGGATGGCATTTTCTCTTTTTATCATTTTCCAATTTTTAATTATTGACTTTACTTTAAAAAAGGTGTAAGAAGGAATTCAGTCAAAATTGCTTATGAATTAAAAATACATGAAAAATATGTTCTAAATCATCTAATCAAAATGTTTAGTCGGTTTATGTTCCTCAAGAATATAGACATAGTAATATTTAAATTCTATCTTTCTAATTTTTACAAAATACATAATTAAATTCAAGTTCGTACTCTCTCTTATCATCGTGAGCTTTTTTCTCCGATTCTAATTCCTCTATGAATTTCGATTTAATTTTTATCAAATATAAAAATTTTATTAAAAAATTTATGTTAAAATTTTTCTTATTGGAATTTTATTATTTTATTATTTATAAAAAAATTTTAAATAAACTTTGTTTTTTCTTTTAGTATTACAAGAAAATTAAAAGCTATTACTGTACAAAATTTAATAAACATCATTTTAAAAAAAAATAGTATTTTGGAAACTTATTAAGTTTATATTCAAAACAAAGTATGCATGATATCTTTATTAAAAATAATTTTTTAAAAAAGCCCTTATCAGAATAATATTAAAGTCATCATAGAGACGCCTTCTTCTGTCAGTAAAAATCATCATTTAAGAGCAAAACGAACAAACATAATACTTAGGGACAATAATAATAAAGTCAAAAGATTCAAAGAGAATAAAATCGAAAACCAACTTAAGGGAAAATAAATGAGTATAGTAAACTGAGAACGGCCCGGTGGGCTCACATTCTCGACCGGCCCAGTGGGCTCACAGTCAGAAGTATAACAAGGTAATAAGATGTTTGGTGAAAAACAAAGGTTTTCTTTCTTTAATACCAAGATAACTTTCCTCAAAAAAGAGAAAAAACATTAGTAACAATATATTATATTCAAAACAATAAATCAAATTAAAGACACTTTTCTATTCACTCATCACGTTCGATTATTCTTTAACAGACACCTACGTTTGACATTATCATAATAGCTACTAGACTGAACTAGGTTATAATTATTTGTAAAAAAAAGTGCATAAGTGAATATATGAACAAATAATAAAAAAAATAAACAAAATTTAACTTCCCTTGAGTAATTGAGTGATGTTCTCGTATTTTTGTATCCCTTAAGCTGTAGAGTTTGTGTAACAATTTTAGCTTAAAAATAGCATAAATTTAGTTATAATCTATTTTTTTT